AAAGAATAATAATAATAAATAAAACTAAGTAAGGTAAAAAAAAAAACAACAACAAAGACGCTTACCTCGTTGACACGCCAAATTTGTGACTGGTCTGCTGGCAGCATCAACATTGAACGGTGTGTGGCATTCACTGCCGCCTAATAAGGTGACGCGAAAATATTACTAGCGAGCCAGCAACAAGCAGACAGCTATAGCACATGTGTCGATAGCGCGCGATAAGTCAGCGTAGAATGGCTTGCTGCTTTTACTTGCAGCACAACACACTGCACTTCGCCCCGCTCCAAACAACAAACCAACCTTGCCACTTGCCATACTTGTGACTGCGTTTGCGCAGAACTTTCTTATCGCGCTCTAGCTGCTTGCTGCCATTATACATAAATACTTCAGCTTTTGTTGTCGCCATCGACATGGAATAAAAAAGGCAATTTACAAGTTAACTAACAATTAACCATTTATGTTGTACTTTAATGTAAACCTAAAACGTTAAACAATGCACGCACACACTTACATGCACATACACATACACATGCACATACAAAAACAAATTATACAATAGATTAGTGCAAGCATGGAAAAATGAACGGAATGGTCATGCAAAAACTAAATATACATATTAAGCATTTTTTTGCTTGCTTGCTTGTTTACCTGCTTGATGGCAGCGCGCACTGGGTCAACTTTCGCTAGCAACTGTGCAACAGACACACTGCTGCATTGCCACGCTACCAAAAACATTATGACGACGAAGTTCCAACAATGGACATAGTACGAGTTCAAAGCCAAAGCGACAATAAAAATATTCTCAGCTACAACTAGTAAGAGGAGACACGGGGTGGTGTTATAGCAACAATGTTGTAGTAGCAACAGCGGAGGAGCAACTGTGCAACACGCGAACTACATTGGGCGCTTTGAGTCTTGCGGTTGAAACTAATAATGTCACTTAAAAAGCAATTTTACAAATTGTGACAAAAAACAAAGCGCTAGAATAGAGTAACAGCACTGTGGAAAACAGCAAAAACCAATGACAGCAGCGGCAGCAGCAATAATACCACTACACTACTACATAGTGGTAGTGAACATGCCATTAAAACAACAATATTTAGTTAGAATATAAAGCCAAACGAATTACAGTCGTCTACACTGAAACGTATAGGAAACGAGGCAAGTTGCTTGAACGAGTTTTTGCTAAGCAAAATTTAGCAGCCGCTAGGTTTGGCAGTAGATAGAAAAAAGTTAGTGGCAAAAAGTCTTAAGCAAAGCAAAAAAGCAAAAAAAAAAAAGAACAAGAGCGAAAAAGGTCGACTGGTTGGCAAAAATTACTAGGTAAAGATAAATAAATTGTTTCAATGTCACCTGCTAAACAAAGCCCGTTGCAAATGCTCTGCTGGCATAGATTTTCGTTCGTTCGTTTGCATTGCAATAAGTAGTGCGCCATTGCTATTTGCTGCTGTGCTGACACCGCTGGGAATCCTGCCGAGCGCAATTGTTTTTGTTGCTTAGCTTAGCTACGTGGTCTCAAGAGGGCGATATTGCGCAAAAAACGAGAAAGAGTTCAACAACAAGAAAGAGTATGCTATTGTTATAAAGCCTTGTATAAAAGATTGATAACAAAGAAGAACGCAAAAAAATGTCAGTAAAAAAATAAATAAAACAAAACTAAATAATAGCGAGAAAAATCTCTAAAGATATACGTACACTAAAAAAGATAAAGTATAAAATCTATTTTCCTCTTAAAGAAAAGCGCTCTCCGAATATACATATAGCCTTTAACCATTCCAACTGGAGCTTAACTACTACATAGTTTGTAATAAAATATTGCGTTGGTATCGACATTTTAGATTTGTTGCTTTAACCTTTCGTATACTATATAGGTGAATAAATCTCACATGGGGTTTGACATAGCCCATATTAATAGCCCAAATTAAATAAAATCAGCAAATTTATATTTTATGGCAGTTATAAATAAGAAATTTCTTTTCATAGCTAATAATGAATGAATTTAAATAAAAGGCGTGTTTATTTATACATTTTAATAAAGTTCTATTAAAAAAAAAAACTTTATATTCATCCTATAACTAATAACAACCGGTTTCACCAGCAATTTAAATGAAATTTGGTATTTTATTTCTGTCAATTTCCATACAACATTCAGAAAATTAAAATCATTTTTCACTTAAATTGCTTTCGTGAAATTGGTTGTACATATTTTCTTGAGTATAAAATTCAAATAGCTCATACCCAAGCGCACTTGTTACGCGATTCATGGCGAAAGCCGAACTAAATCAATTGCGCTGATCGGAACGACAACACCGCATTTAAATGTAGCTACTGGGAAAACGAACTCGCTCGTTTTTATTGTTTAAGAATTATTATGATTTTTAAAGTGCTGGGGTATGGTATACCCCGCTCTCGTGCATAGGTTAAAGCCCACTACAAAGGCCTACTAAGAAAATGTTGTCGGATGATGGATACATTTCTGTGTTTGAAATTTTCAGGAAATTAATCCAGACGAGGCAGAGCTTTTCCCTTTTACTAAAAGGAACAAGATATCATAGCTGAAACTGCAGTTATTAGACGGTCGGTTAATCCCATTATCTGCGAGCACAAAATATTTTGGAACCCGGCGAACATCAAACCTAAGTTGAAAGTCGGAGGAGAATAGCACCTAATGAGACTTAACGTTTGCAAATTATAGTTAAAAAAGTATTCATAAATTAAATTTAATAAACTCCTACAAAAATACCTACCTATGTTTACAGCTGGGGGGTTTGTTACCTGACCTAAAAAAACAGCAAGCGCTGATATAATGACTGCTTTAAGATTCAGCCGCCACACTCAGGGAGTCAAGACTGTAGGTGATGAGAGAGTTTTAACTCGGGTTAATTATTACTGAGACGGAATTGGAGAAGAAGACACAGACTATATAAGGGAATTTAATAGCTAGTCTTGATCTCAGCATCATTATACAAGTATGATTCTTATCCAGAAAGGAAAGCGATCGGGAAGCCGATAAAGGTCTCCTTACACCGACTGACCCGATAAACACTACGTCACTCTTTCTCTACGTCTCACAGTGGTCGGAGAGGCCATGTTTTACGCGAAAAAGGCTTATTTGAAAACTGTGATAAATTATCCGGCATAAAACTGTTGTTATTTAGATATGTCCAACGAAACTCAAACCTGAATAGTATTTTCAAAAATATCTGCTGAGCACGTTCAAACAGTTATTTGTTGATAGCGTTCATTAAAAATTTTATATGGAAGCTTTTAATTATAACAGTAATTGCTGCTTTAGTGTTAATTCTTAAACATGGAATATGCTGTTTTCATAATAAATATTTTATAAGCTAAGTTAGTTGCTAAATTATCAATACCATAGTAATAACGCATATTTTTAGAGAATTATTTTGTTCAAAAAGGTGAGCAGGGCCGAGTAATATCATCATTACTTTACGAAAAACTAATGTAAAGTGCCCTTTACGAATATACGAAAAGAAACGCCGCGCGAACTGGCGTCAAAAAGAGTGGCCGCGATTTTTATTTAACTAGACCAACTTTAGCAGTTGTTGCAAATATTATAAAGTGTATTAAAACATTAAGGACTATTGTAATTTATTCTATATTTACCATCATATAATTTACAAGATATGCCTTAACGAACATGAAATGCCTTTTCAAAAATTCAAAATAGCGAATCCAATATGGACTCCAAGAATTAAAAAAAAATATTGAATTTTCATGAAATTTGGTATTTAGCGGTTCTCAATTTCGCTTATTACAAATCTCGAACTAATTTTTGAAAATTCTGTAATTTTTCGCTATTTAGTTTAGGTCTGTTATTTGTGTTTTGTAGTATTCTTCGCAATATACCCCAGCAGCCTTGGGTTCATAATCAGAAAGTTTCTTGTGTTTTTTAAATAACTTCGAAAGCTTCGTTTTTCACGGTGTTAAATTTAAAATGCTATAATATTTTAAAAGAATAAGTAATTTTTCGCAAAAAAACCCACTACAAAAAAAAGTATATATATATATATATATTTCATGATCCAGTGATCGGATCTAAACCAGATTAGTATGGGACCACCTCCGAGACACTACCTTTCCGATGCAAAAATTATCGAAATCGGTTTACGTTGTGCAAGGTTATGCGGTAACATACATAAAAAAAGAAAAAAATAAAAATATTCCGACTAACTGATAACCTCCTCCTTTTTTGGAAGTATGTTAAAAATGGAAATGTTCATATGTAGAGTGAAAAGTCACACGTGAGGAGAGACAGCGTAAGTTTTTTTGATGAAGATTAAAATGCTCAATATTTGTTGAATTTATATAAGATTTGTACACGATAATACTTCAATTGCTCCAAAGAACCTACATATATACCGACAAGTAATTTTTAGCAAAAAAAATCGACTCCAACTCTCATATAAAAAAAATATATATATATATATCTCATGATCCACTGATCGGGTCTTAACCAGATTAGTATGGGACCACCTCTGGGACACTACCTTTCCGATGCAAAAAGAATTATCGAAACTGGTTGACGTGGTCCAAAGTTATGCGGTAACATACATAAAAAAAAAAATAAAAAAAATATTCCGACGAACTGATAACCTCCTCCTTTTTTGGAAGTCGGCTAAAAATAATAGTTATATCTGCAAATCCAAAATAAGCCAATATTTACCGTTGTTTGTGCGACAGAAATCAAATTGGTTACTTTAAAAAAAGGCTTGGAATTTTACCTTTGAATGAGCGTTTTCGTGAAGCTCTTAAAATTACAACTACAACATTTGAGCATAGCTTCCATATCGAAACGTAAGACGTATTCTACGTCAAAATCGCCCCTTTTTTTGGGAACGTACCTTAATATGCATATGCATTTATGACATTTAAATTAATTTGAAGACCTTTTTTAATATTTCAAAAATATAATAAACTAAAAAATATTATCAAAAAATTTCTTTATAACAAGCTTTATTTCTTTTGTTTTCAGCTATACAAAAAACAATTGGTGAATCAGTAAACTTTGCATATAAGGTAAGTGTTTTGAATGAAGAAGAAGGAAAGTAACCAGGTGGGAAATAGACAATGAAAACAAGTGAAAACAGTGATATGCCGAGGGCTTCCTACCTTTCATGAGCGTCAGAAAAATTTATCTCAACCGATGGTTGCATTTTAATTTATTTGGTTGGGTTCTTGCAAAATTTGTACCTTCACCGCATACATGGATAGAGGAGTTATATAAAGAAATCATATGCAAACAATCAGTTGTGTGAAAACTATAAATTGTAGTGACCCGCGCTTGGTGTTGTTTACTCTAAGCTTTCTGTTGACCCCTTTTGAAAATAGTGCGAAATTTTCTGTTCCTATCTGGATAAGTGGAGGATTTATAACGAAAAACCTCATATCTGAACAATCAGTTGTAGGATAGCTGTATATTATAGAGGCCCGACTTTGCCGGTTCCGACAAATGACTAATACGTTATAAAAATACACCAGCGCACCACATTTCAGAAGTATATCTTCAAAAATGAGGGACTAGATTGCATACCAAGAGACGGACATACGGACGTTGCTTAAAGTTGTTTCTTCTTCTGCTGGTATATACCATTTCATGTTCATGAAAGGTATAAATGTACTAGTGCAAAGTATGTATGTACGTATGTACATACATAAAACGTGCGTCAAAACAAAATCAAAAATGCCCAAAAAACTCTCTCGTGCCCAAAGTTCACACATCTATTGCTTTCTTCAAAAACTTGTCTTTCTGTCAGCATCAAAATCCCCCAAAATGTCAACTCCGACTACCTGTCACTTAATATCGCCAAATGTAGACAATCAGGTGCATGGCACAACACTTTTGACGTGACCTTAAAATGTCATAAAGATTTCAGTAGACATGCTCGCACACACACACACACACACACATATTAGTCTACAAAAGTTCATAAAACAAACAAAGCATGAAAGATTCCGCGTACAGTGACAACATAATCGCCTTCATAGTCGTACTCAGCAAGCTGCCCATCAATATGCTATGGCAGCGTTTCATCATCAATTCTCAGCGGTGCATTAGAACTTGACATTGTTTCATGTCCGCAAAGCACCGTTGTACCATTACAACGCTTTATGCACTGTGTAACTATAACTATTGCACTGCTTCGATATGCGCGCAGTACTTGCAATAAGTCGTATTGTGCGAGTTATTTATTGCTGCAGAACATTGCGCTGGTCGCCTAACTGTCATTCGCTAGCCCGTTGAATGATCGCTAGTCGGTGAATAGTAGGTCCCCGTACATATACATACATATACATTCGTAGTTGTCTAAATGTTGGAATTTTAAGTGCAACTGGCTGGTGTCATCCATTTCAATTTTAATCGATACCACCAATTTACTCTGTCATGAGAGACGAACAGGCGCTGCGCATGTAAACGGTGACAATTTCTAATCATTATGACAGCATTTTTTGAAAGCTTTGTCAGGTTTTTGAAATCCCTGTTCTTTTATTGCCACATTTCTGTAGCTGCAAATGGTTTAAAAAATGTCAACCATATTGTTTACTTGGGTATTGATGTTTGCGTTGAAGATGGAAAATAAAAAGAAAATACATTGTATGTACATACAGTTCGACTGTGTAGCTAATGACGCCGTATGAAACGTTGAATGGAAATATGAATAAAATAGGCAGATCACGCAACATCCAACAGTCCCACAGTAATACTTCTATATGTATCAATGTTAGTGTTTGACAAAGTAAAGTCTGGCGTTAATTTTTTTTTTGTTTTAATTTTCTTTCAAAACGTTTTTACGCATTACTTTCGTAAGAAAAAAGTGCAAAAAGCCGTAAGCTTAAACAATATTAAAAAACAACGCAATTATGCAGTAGCTTAAAACTTACACTTTATTCTACAAAAACTTAATGGGCTACAAAACTACATACTCAAAAAAATTCTAAAAAAAAAATCTTAAAAAATTTTAAATTTTTAATGTTGTTATATTACTCAACTTGGTGTTAAGAAAAAAAATCATAACTCAAATTAATGCCAGGGTACTTATTTTACTCAACTTCGAGGTAAAAAATAATAATAACTTAAAATATTGTAGAGTGCACCCCATAATACTCTGCTTAAATATTGCACAATACTCAGAGATGGCATATTTTCAGGAATTATTTATTTTTATCAAAAAATTTGTATGTGAAAAGTTAAAAAAAAAAAATTTTCCTTATATTTCTTTTCATAGAAAACTTTGATGTGTGTATGTGCAATTTTTTTTCATATTCTTTCTCGCCCCGTTCTCGAGATATTTGGAAAACTATTAAATCGATTTGTTTTTGTTTTTGGCCGCAAAGTGTTTAAAAATGTATTAATCAAGCTAAAATTTCATATTTACTTATTATTTATGTTTATGCATCAAGCCTAAAAATTTGAAACAAATCAAACACATGAAGTGTGAGCCCCTTCCATTTTGGTATGGATGAGGCGTTCCATACACACATAAAGCCCATATAGCTTATATTCGCCGTTAAAAATGCTCAAAGAAATACAAATTGATGGCAAAATCTTCTTCTCGAACACCTCAAGCGCTGCTTCAATAGATGTTTTCATCGTTCCTGCGCAGTGCCGCTAGCACGAATATGATGTGCGATTTTTATATGCTGCCTACTTAAACAAAGTATCACATCGTGGCGAGAGATATTCTTCGTTTGATTTCCTGTAAAAGATTTTTGTTTACTTTACTAGAATTCCCAAATAAACGAAATCATTTACGAATTCGATACAATAACTTTTAATAGACCCACGCACTTTGTAGACAGTTTAAGGCACTTTTGAGGCCAATGATATTGGATGTCATTGGCAAATGCCAGCAATTATACACTCCTACAGCAAATTTTATCTGAGCGGTTGAGCATTGCAGATGTTATTAATTATCTTCTGCAAAATTAGATGAAATAAATCACCCGATAGGCACTCGCTCTGTTTTAATCAAAGGGTTCGGAAAAATCCTTCATAATTCTAACAGAGAAAGATTTGTGTCGAGTCTCCTCTCCAGGGTATTTTACAAATTTGGCATGTGCTAGGTCGAAAGTCGCACTGACAAGGCCCAATGAGTTCTTTAGCGCTTGGATATATGATACTCTAGCGTATTTTGCGTTCCTTCTGACTTCTGCAGAAGGCAGAGAACACTTAAATTCCGATCCAAAGCCATGCATTCCCCAGAGTATTTCTTAAAAAGAAGTGGGTGGAGTTAGAAAATTTTCTGCTCCTTCAGCTTTGGTATTTTGACTCCGGCCATTTATTTGAGTCTGGTTGTGGTAAGACAGAGAACAATTTATGCCGCCATCATCGATTGGGGCTCGAGGCCTACGCTATCACCACAATTTTTGCTATTGCTGCTCTTCAGGGGAGTTGAGAAGTATTTATTATCATTTGGAGAGACTAGAGTTTATCGTTTTTAGTTTTACAAGAGTTCGGGTCGTTAAATTTTAAATTTTTTTTGTCCTGTTTTTCTGGTTTCCTGTCCGAAACTAGCTCCTCACATGCTTGCATTTTGGTCTCTCTTTTTTAAATATTTCCTATGATGCATCTCTCTTCTCTTTTCAACTTTTAATTACACAATCTGACACAACTTCGAAACTGGTTTAAATAAAAATTAAAGAGAAATATTTTCTAATGCTGTTTAAGAGTTTTCTATGCGGCCTTCTTGCTTCCTAGCTAACTTTTACACTTGTGACAGTTTAAGTGTGAGATTTAAAAATGAACCTACATATACATATATACATAGTTATATACATACATGCGTATGAGCACATGAATATACATTAAAAAAAAAATAATAAAGCAGCTTTGCAAATTTATAGCAAAAAAGCCAACTTAGTATGAATAAACAGTAAACAAAGGCATCAACTAGCAGCCGACATAAACCGCACACTAGTCGAGCATGCGCCGAAGGTAGGGAAAACGGCCAGCAAATAAAATTTCCTTTAAACCAGCAAGCAGACAAACCAAAGGCACTAAATTGCCCGTCAAACACAAGAAGTCGAAAATTCAAAGAAATTCATTTAAAAAAATTAAACTGCTTGCTGCTGCCGTTTGTGTCGTGCAGTGCAGCGATTGAAGCCTCAATCTTTTTTACTCATAAAATAACATCATTGCACAATTAATTAATGTGAAGTCTCTCTTTCCTTGTCTGTGCATGCAAGTGTTGTTTTTGCTGCTGATTTTCGTACCATTGTTTAAGTTTTTATTATGATTTTGAATAATTTCACAAAGGCGGAGATGCAGACAGCATCAGCAGTAACCACCTGCCGCCCAGCGTTGAGCGGCGCATAGAAGTGTGGAAACTGTTTTTCAACATAATTTATTTTTTGTTCTAATAAAAGTTGTTTTATTTTTTGCTGCTGGTTTATAGAAGGCATGCAATCGTTGAGCGACAGCCGCCACTTTATTGATGTTGTTAAATTTATGATTCTGTGGCATGTAGTTGGCAACAGGAGAAGTGGCAGTAATGGATAGTAGCGAATAGCATGCAGCCTGCTAGACAGACAGACAGACAGACAGACAGACAGTAGGAGTAGCGTAGGCAGCAAGGCGCTGTGGTTTAAGATTACAGGCTGGTTTTTAATCAAAGCAAAACTGACTAGCAGTTTAAATAATAGAAATGTGCATATATGTAGTTATGTGGTCGTCATTATTTCGTGTCTGATATATCACAAAAAAAAAAGAAAAAAATACATATAGACAGCTCGTTTGCGCTTGTGCTTTTAGCCAGCAGCAATTACGCAGATATGTTGCTCATATGCAGCAGCAAACGTTAATGCATATATAGCAATAGGAAATGGAATTCTCGTTGATCGATTTATAAAAATGCTTAGCACAAATGCGGCGGATTAAGCACACAATCAGCAAAAATCGATTCGGTGAAAGAGTGTGAAAGACAGACAGCCAGCCATAGCGCAGGCAATATCACAAACAGGAAAGAGCAGCGGTGGTACATAGAGGTTAGCAACGGTTGGCAGCGGTCAGTGCGTGCGCT